TGTGTGTGTGTGTGTGTGTGTGTGTGTGTGTCTGGGGATTGAACCCATTCACACTAAGCTATACCTCCAGCCCTTTCCTTTATCATTTTCAGTTTGACGCAGAATTTCCCTAAACCACTAGGTTGCCCAGTCTGTGTTTGAACTTTCAGTGCTCCAGCCTCAGCCTTTGAAAGTAGTTTTCTTAGTTACTCTTCTCTTTTTGCTGGGACAAAACACCTAACATCCAAAATTAAGGAAGGAAAGGTTAATTTAATTCACAGTTAGTGGAGGTCTCAGTCTGTACTCAGCTGAGAATATGCCAGAGACGCACAAGGCAGAGGTCAGCCTTTTGTGGCAGTGGAAAACAGCACAGAGCAAAAGGAGGAGCAACAGCTGGGTGGCTAGCTATCCTTTCCCCAACTCCTTACATTGTAATGCAGATTATCTGCCCCAGGACAAGTGTAGCACTCACACCCATAATCCTAGCGCTGGACCATGAATTAATCACACATTCTAGAAGCTGCCCCATGACTGTATGATGCTTTGCAGGGGTCAACTAGATATAAACCATAACAGTACTGAAATGCATTTTTTTTTATTCCTGATCTTTTCAATTTATAATGGGAAAATAGCCCTATCATAAGTTCAGGAATATCAGTATTAACCTTTCTAATTATCTTTGCATTCATAATTTTATATTTTTATTCTTAGAGAGGACTAATAAATTATATATGCTTTTGGCTACACCAAATCTGGATTTACCTCTAGGTTTTACTAAATGAGATTCCTGAGTGTATTTGTACACATTTAGTGAAACATAATTTGTCCGAATAAACAAGCACTGAATAGAATCTTGAAAATCCTGAATTATTCTAAAATGAACACTTTTGGTGGCTGTTTTACAAGAGAACCAGAACTTCTTGGCTGCCAGGATAGTTCAATGTTAGTGTTAGTGAATATCATAAAATTATAACTCAGACACTGACTTTAGTTGAGCCCAGTTCCAATCAGCAAGACTTCGTGGAAAACCTACTATATATAATGAGGTTGCTGGGCCAGGTTCTTTTTTTTCAGATAGTTTAAACTCAGTTTAAGAGCCATTCAAAATACATTGCCTTAACAGTGAACTATTTTTGGTTCCTTGGAACTTTAGTTCTCTGAAATGAGAAATTGGAGGTAACATGATAAATATGATTAAATGCCAGGGAAAACAATGACAAATGGTTGGCATCAGTCACTTGGTGTTCTCTAAAACAAAGAGACTTGTCAGCCTGCCAGTACTGGCAGCTTCAGTACTGAGGCTAAAAAAATAAAAAGTGTCCTTATCTTTTTTTGGAGATAGTTTCATAAATGGTAGCTGTTGGGTAACCTTAGGTAATAGTTTTTCAAATCAAATAACTATATATTTAAAACAAACTAGTTAATGTTCAACCTTTGCCCATTCTCATAATATGACATTATGTCAGTGCAAGTGCATGTATTTGTGAGATAGTATAGAGTTCCTAAAAGATGAACCATTATATGATGTCACATATTGACACATGTTTTGAAGGAAAACAGTGCCCTGGAAGGAGAGAGACTGATGGCTACAGGGGTTCTCTTTAAGAAAGGGTGTGTGCTATCTTAGCTATTCCTTGAATTGCCATATCCCTGTCTTATGGCACTTCTGCTTAGTAGGTCTTCTGGCTGGAATACTTTCCTTTAGATACCTGTTACCAGTTGTCTTTTCACTTCATTTACCATATGAATGAATGTCATTAAAATTAAATGAGATTGACCTAATCTTATTAAAGATTTTTATTTTTAAAAAATGATTTTATGAAAAAATGCATAATATACTTTCTTTTACAAAACAACATGGTATTATATACATAGTTTCCACTGAGATAAAAAAAAAACCTCAGACCTTTGCATGTGTTCATTTACTTATTCATACCTAGGAAGAAAACTCATCAAGCATCTTCTATTTGTCTACTTACTAAGTGCTTCTACCTTAGTTTTATAGGAAGATGAATCATGAAACAAGAGTAAAATGACACCCTTCTCACTTACTGTCCTCCAGCCATATTGATCTTTCAGTTCCCAAAGTTAGTTCTTTTCTTTGCACATTTTACTATCTTTACAGTGTTTCTTGTTTTTATGAAACTGAAAATATTGCTTAATATCCTTCTTTCTATGTTTTGTAAGTTCTATAAGTAGAAATCATATACCACTTAATTATTAATACTTAACTCAGTGTCCAAAAATACAGAAGGTACTTAAACATGTCTTAAGTGAATGAGCGATTAGGTGATGTATATAGTAGAAAAGTGTATCTAATCTAGTAGATGTTGAAAGATATTTCCCTGAGTAAGTGAATTTTAAGCTAGGATCTAAAGAATGAGGAGAAATGAGTGAAGAAGACCAGACAAAATGTTCTGGAGCTGAGCTCAGATTTTATCCTAAAAGCTAAGGAGTTTCAAACAAAGCACCGTTGAATTTTTTTTTTTTAATTGTTGTTAAAGACATAGGCAGTGGTCGAGCAGAGAAAGTAGTTGGAGGCTTATTAAAGTGATAGATGATGATGGCTTCTTGGCAGTAGAGGTGAGACAGGGATGCCTTTGATTTTTAGCAGAGTAGCTGAGAGTAATGAGGGATAGGAAGCATACTTAAGTATAATTTCATCTTTCTGCTTTAGGTAACTGAGAAGATTCTGAGGCCTTTCAGAGAGACCAGAAACTTGGAAGGAAAGACTTTCTGAGGCGAAAACAGAGCAATACTGTTAAGACCTATCTAAGTCAAATCTGAGTGTTACAGACTTGATTATATAGCTAAATTTTGTTTTTTTAAAAAATTCCTAGAAAGAAAGAACTAGAATGATTTAAGGATATATTTTTATTAGTACATGTTTGCAGTACATAATGACTATATTCATCCTGGGGAGTTGATACATGTATATTATTAATCCTAATACTTTTTCCAACCCTTTCTCTTCTTCACCCTATTCTCTTCTCCATCTCTTGGTCCCCTTCCACTTTGCAAAGATCTGTCTTCCTATTATGTTTCATTTTGCTCTTTCTTTGTACTTTGGGTTTCTCATATGAAGACACCATGCAGTTTTCAAGCTTTTGTGTATGATTTATTTCACTTAGCATCGTGCTCTCCAGCTGCATCCATTCTCTTACAAATGAGTAATGCTGCCTTTTTTTCCCCTCCTCCCATTTCTCTCGTCCCTTCCCCTTCTCTCTTTTCACCTGTCCTCACCCTGAGTCTTTACACTGGTTTCTCTGTCTGTATATGATGGTGTTCTAGTTTATTTTCTTTTAAGAATACGAGCCATCTTGGATTAGGATCTACCTGAATGAGCTCATTTTAACTTAATAGTCCTTATCTTCCCAACACAGTCACATTCTGAAATATTGGGGGCTAGGATTTTAATATATCCAATTGGAGAGGACATAATTCACCTCCCAAAGCCATGCATGGGATGAAGTTTTAAATGCTAATAACCTGACTTTCAGAAATCTTAGTGGTGGTGAGCCTATGGCATGCATTCTGTAGCCATCATTGAAAGATCTAAAATGTTCACCATCACTGGCCCAGACTATTTTTGTTTCTAGCCAACACTTGGAAAGCAAAGTGGGTCTTTCCTGGAAATCACAGGTAATTAACTCATATTTATCCAGTCATCATTGGGATCCAGTATACCTTTGTTAAAGTCAATTTGTGGATTAGCCAGTGAGTTTTTTAAATTAATGTTATATATGATTGAAGAAATATGATTTTTATATTTGTGAGGTACAATGTGATGTTTTGATGTATGTGTATAATGCAGCATGAAATACTTAGCATATTTATCACCTTGTTTACCTATCATTTTTAATTGTGTATTATATGCCAGGCCCAGTTCCGATCATTTTATTTACTTATTTATTTTGAATTTAGTTAAGTTTATTGGTATAATTTAGGTATGTACAATGATCACATTCATCATAGGGAATTTGTACATGTACATGATACGCCCTTTGTCTTTTTTTCCCATCCTATTCCCCTCTCCTCCCTATAACCTCTCTTCCCCTCCTTATTTGCAAAGCTTGGTTTCCATTTATTATTTAGTTTTAATTTTCATTATTAGTGTTTTATTTTAATGAAGATAAAATTACACACACACACACACATACATACACACACACACACATCTCAAAAATAAAACACCTTTATGGAACCAAAAAAAATAGCACCTTCTTAGCCAAAATGTGGGCTATGCTCTCTCTTATAAGTAATTTGTCCTGCCTAGAAGATCACTGTGAAATGGGCTCATTATCACTGTGCTGGCTACCTTGGGCGTTAGCAGTCCCAAAAGCTGGTGGGTTTGTGCCAGTGGCCTTTTGTGTGCCAGTTTAGCATGTTCTCCTGGTGTAGCAATCACCATTACTCATGACTGTGCCAGCTAAAAGGTACTTTCCTAAGAATTATGCTAGAATACATGGGGAACAGCAAGTAGGCTGAACCCACTATGAAAATGGGGAGGTTTCTTTAAAAGGAGAGCAGGTGGGTATGTGCATGTGCACTCTCAGACTTTCTCTTTGGTCTAGGGAGGGAAGAATCCCCTCACAAACCTGAACGAGGCAAGCTACAGAGGTTTCAAATTATCTAGAGAGGCTGCAGGTTAGAGTCATCTGGCATAGGTCAGCAATTAAAACCTGCCATAGGCAAAGCAAGTACCTAGGCTGCTAACAGGGACCTGATGCAGCCAGCCTGCCTGCACAGTGTTTGGGACAGCCATGGGGTAAAAGTACCTTTCAGGAAGCACTGGATTCTCCTGTCTTTAGGATTTACATTTATCATTCAAAAGTCTATTGGTGATAGTAACTTGACATTCAATCCTGTATATTTAGTCCTCAGCACCTTAGTGCTAGGCACCTAAGGATGACTCATGGTAGTCATTATTTTAGATTTGTTATTAACACTATAAATTTGTTCACATCACTATTCACTGTAATTGTTATACAGTAATATTTTTATGTTATCTTGGTTTTTAGGTAGATTGGGGCAACCTGGACTATTTAGTTGTTGACATGCCACCAGGAACGGGAGATGTGCAACTGTCAGTTTCACAGAATATTCCTATTTCAGGTAAATCTTAGAAGTTTAACTTATGTTTTCTTTGATACACTGATGTTGCTATACAGAAAAATAAATTTGATGACAAGCATATTTATGTCTTAAAGAATAATTTAAAACTTTCCCATAAAAGCTCATAACCATAAGTTGAATTTTCATAGTTAGCAAAATTAGTATATTTACAAAAAAATAAAGATACTTTGAGAAAGGTGGTGATACAAATGTGTTCTACAAAAGGTATAGCAGTTAAGTAGATTTAAATAGTGTATGGTTGTTGGGTTGACCGCATTTCAGCACATACAGTCCTGATTCATGGAAGCTCTGGATAAATATTTATAGAGTAAATATTGAAGTTTTGGTAAATACAGTGATGAGAGAATTATATATTCTGCTACTTATTTAATAGTAAAATCAAGAGAGTAATAAGTGTAATAGCTTATATGAAATGCAAAATAATTTAATATGGTGTCATTTTTATGCTATTGAATTTAAATATTAGTAGTTACTCTTTATATTGAACATGTTTCTAAAGATTTATCTAGATTTCACTGGAGAAATAGTTTCAAATCTCTTTTACATGTGATGAGGACTTTGGAAAAGATAATGAAAAATTTAAATGTCTTCCAAATCAGTTATTTACTGGCTATCAAGGCATGTCACTGATACTTAATTATCAAATGCTGAGACAACCTTTTTTTATGAGACATACATGTTATATAGAAGTATAAAGATGTACCTCGTTTTTATACTTTTCTGCTGGATGGGGGTTAAGACCAAGATAAAGCAAGACCTATATAACAAGAAATGTAACTTTTGTATCTGACAAGGTCAGTCAAATCCCCTCAGGATTTACCTGAAACTCTGTACCACAGTTTGTAGATCCTTTGTGAGTTTCAGCCATGTGGATGAGTCATGGCCATTGTTTGACCAGTCTGCTCTCTGTGGAAGCCTGAGAGAATCTTTTCTCTCCATGTGACTCTCCTTAGGCACACTCTACATCATCGATCACTTTCCTCTGTGGCCCCATAATCTCCTTGATCAGAAAATTTGGGACGTCACTGAGTTACAGGATGTTACAGTACAGGTTCTCTTATGTCCTGAATCCTCACTGACCTTGAAGGGCTAGGACCAAAGTGTTGGCTGTTCTTGTAGCCATTCTTTTTTTCTAATTTTTGGTCTGCAAACTTAAGTTGTTAACCCTCCAGAAGAGAAGCTTAATGATATTATTACCCTATAACATAGGCAGTTGAGCTTAACCTCATTATCTGTCTGAATATCAAACATCTTTGACATAACATGGAACAGGTATTTTCCATCAAGTATTGATATGTTAAACTTTAAATCCCTACTGAATGTGAAGAAAAAAAGAAAAAAAAATTAAAAAATTAAAAAATATTTAAAAAATAGGAAAAAACTATTACATATTTTTACACAGAAATTTAGGAATTTAACTTAACTACTACTATGGATTACTGGACTATATTGGATTATTTTGCTGAATTCACGTACCTACAATATTTAAATGACAATGGAATACCCAATTCCGAAAAACTAAACAGAAAGGGGGGATACAAATGAAGGACCATTTTGTATCTGTATATACAAAATAGTTAGGATAGATATAGAGCTACTTTCTCTTAATTCAGTGAGAAGAAAGATTTGTACTAATAATGTTTGGACAGGATATCACATCTGCATCTTGTACTATAAATAAGCACTATAAAGACAACAATATATATTAATTATTGAAACTGTCCTAGTAATCAGTTTTGAAACCATCTCATTGCTATTTGTTTCTCAATAAAATTAATAAAAAAATAAAAGTGTAAAGATAGCCTTATTACTATGGATATTTTTTGTGTATTTGTAACCTTAATAGAGACTGAGACATTTTCAGTGAAGTAGACTAAAGTTTGAGATGGAAGTAAGATGACTTAAAATGTTTCATCTTCTCTCTGGTTGCTTTTTCTTTTTTATATCAAAGATTTCTCTTTATACTTTTTTTGTGGAGAGAATTTTATCCTAAATGGTAAGAACACCTGTTGGAGGGTTTTTTTTTTTAAATTTATATATTTAGTATAGGGTCTATAGGGTTTCACTACACAGATCAGACTTGTAGTAATCCTCAATATTTCAGCCTCCCAAGCACAGTGATTACAGGGTCATGCCTCCATACCCTGTCTGAGTTGCTGTCTCAGCACACCCTGGGGGCGGGGCTATTATTGCACACCAGGGAACCCTGGTCCCTGTGTCTGCCTAAGCAGACCTATCTTTAATCCGCTGACTTATCTGGCCACCCCCTCTTTTTAAATTATTAGTATATATTTGTAGCACACCTCAATTTTTTAATCTACTTTATCTCCCCTCCTTCACTCTGAGTTCAATCCCCAGTTCGCAAAAAAAAAAAAAAAAAAAAAATTATGTTCCCTAGCAGGGCATGAAAGTGCACATCTGTAATTCCAGCACCTGGGAGCCTGAGACAGGGCCAGCTTGTGCCACATAGTGAGTGCAAGGATAGCCTGAGCTACATAATGAGACCCTGTCTCAAAAAACGAAATTATGGTGTCAAGGTACATCTCTTTTCTTAGAGACAACTTAAGTATCTTTCCTTATGGCAGAGTAGTACTCCATGGTTTTTAAATACCATGTGTACCTAATCCATTCGTCTTTTGATGCACATATATGCTGCTTTCACAACTTAGCTATTATGAATTGTGCTGCTATAAACGTAGACATCCATGCATCACTGTAATATGGTGTCTTTTAACTGTTTCTAGAAAATAATAGCAGGGAAATAGCTGAGTCAAATAGAATGTGTTTATTTATTTATTTATTTATTTATTTATTGTTTTGAGGAATGTATTTTTTAAATTTTATGTATTTGGTACAGGGTCTCTCTATGTAGCTCAGACTTGCAGTGATCCTCATGTTTCAGCCTCCGCAGCTCTGGGATTACAGGCATGCGCCCCCATGCCCAGTCTTGGTGGCCAGTTCAGCATGCCCTGGGGTGGGGATGGCAAGACATGCAGTACTGGGGCTTGAACCCAGGTCCTTGAGCTTGCCTAGGGAGGAGCATAGACCACTGAGCTATAGTGTTTGTACTGCTTGACATTCCGACCAACAATGCAGAAGGATTGCTTGTTCCCTGCAGCCTTACCAGCATTTATTATTATTTGATTCCTTTTTGATGGCCGTTCTTTCTGGAGTAAGTTGGAATCTCAGTGTTGTTTAAATCTACATTTCTGTAATGGCCAGTAATGTTGAACATTTTTTCATATGTTTGTGGACCATTTGTACTTCTTTATCTGAGAAATGTCCATTGATTTCTGTTGCTCATTTTTTGATTGAATCATTTATTTTGGGAGGGGTCTAATTTTTTTTGAGTTATTGTGTAAAAAGGTATTACTCTGAGGAATAGGTGAAAAAATTATTTTCACATTCTATAGGTTGTCTTTTCACTCTGTTGGTTGTTTCTTTTGCTGTGCAAAAAGCCTTTTAATTTGTAATTATCTCATTTGCTGATTCTTGGTACTATTTCTTGTGCTACTAAGGTTCTGTTTTAGAAAGAGCTTGAATATGCCTCTGACTTCAAGAGTTTTACCATTTTATCTTCCAGCAGAGTGTTTCTGTTTTAGATCTTTGATCTATTTTGATTTTAGTGTAGTAAATGTTGAGATATATTAGTCTACGTTCACTTTTTTGCATCTTAATAGCTAATTTCCCCAACACCATGTGTTAAAGAGCCCTTTCCTCCATTGTGATTTTTGTCTGCATTGCCAAAGATTAAATAGCTGAATGTGGCTGGTGTTGTTTCTGTATCCTCTGTTCTGTTCCATTAATACACATGTCTGTTTTTATACCAGTAACGTGCTGTTTTTATCATTGTAGCTTTGGAATGACTTCAAATCCAGGGTACTGTGATGTCACTTTTCAACCAGGATTGCTTTTGCTGCTTTGGGTTTCTTTTGGTTTCATATGAATTTTAGGATTGTTTTCTCTAGTTCTGTGAGGAATGCTGTTGGTATTTTGATTAGGATTGTGATATATCTGTATCTCAGTTTTGAAAGTATAGCCATTTTGGCAGTATTGCTTCTGCCCATGCAGGAACAGATGGTATGTAGTTTTTGTTGTAGAAGTCGTTTGCTTTTTTTGTTAGGTAAAATCCTAAATGTTTGATATTTTTTTTTCAAAATGCAAACATAGATTTTATTAAACACTGCTCCATCCTCCACTGAAGAGCTTCCATTTCCACATAACGGTGAGTTAAAGGTTGGAGTAGTACATTGATAAGAAAAAATGTTTGAAATACCTGACCAGCTAAAAACATACAAGATCTCTATGGAGTCAGCTTTCTAGTGCTGTGCAGAGGAAGGCTGTGCCCTTCCTTTAAAGACAGCCCAGCAGTAACAGCTAGTGCTGTGTGGCACCACTTATGGGGCTTGAATCCTCCATCTCAGCCTGGTGAGGAAGGACTGGCAGTGGTGTGAAGGTTTGGAAAGGCCCTGCCTCCACCCTCTGGGTGACAAGGAATGGACAAGGGACAGCTGTTGTTGTGGGCGCTGCAGGTGAAAGGGGTATTGGTGAGGAATACTCAAGAGTTTTGGCTTACTTTCCCAGGTTTTATTAATATTTTGTGCTTTAAAACCCTGGAGAGTGAAGGTTTTGCTCAAATTCTAGAAGACAGTGATGCCTTCGATAGGGCAGGCTATGCTAAGAGTCCCATCAGTGTGTTTCTAAGAGAGATGAAGGGAAGGGGAAGGACTTCCAGAACTTTGACTATGATGTATCATGGAGAGATTTTTTTCTGATCATGGCTATTGGGGGTTCATTATGCCTCAGTTATATGTATATTAAATTATTTTCCCATATTTGCAAATTTTTCTGCTATCATTCAGTAAATAGGTTTTTTTTGTCATGTGTGTTGTCTTTTGCTTTTTCATTAATTTCTATTAATCTTAGATTAGTCTTTGTTTCAACTAGCAGCTGTTGGATCCATGTTTCATGTACTCTTT